AAGCAACTGCCATGTGATTGGTTGATTAGATAATTGCATTAATGAGAAATTGAACAGGTGTTCCTAATAATCCTTTAGGTGAGTGTATATTGCATCATTATCATAAGTAGTTATATTGCAAATGTTGGTAAAACCAAGTTAGACTTTAAACTGTGGGAAAAAACAGAGGTATATTGCACCAAATCATGGATAATAATATTGCACATCTTAATGTGCACTGGCCCTGTATTTAAAGATTTCCCTTTTTTCCTATAGTCATTGCTGAGATCATTAAGAATTTCAACCACTAATTTCTTAACATTTCCCTTAAAAGAGTCATCAATTAAAACAGAATCGTTAACTTGCCAATGCCCTCGAATTACAGAAGCCTCTTGGGTAGAACCTGTTTAATAGTGGTGTGAAAATGGGGCATAAAGATGATTACCTGAAGGATAGAGAAAGAGATGAAAAACAAATCAATTCTTGACTTGAAGGTCAATTTACTATTACCTGGTGAATTCTTTTATACTTGGGTTGAAGAAGTCCCATGCATCAGTCAGAGAGAGACTGGGGTAAAGCAACAAAATTAGATTATTGCTCTCTGAAGCTTGGTTTGTTTTAGGGGGGTATCTGTCTTCATTATCATCTGGACATTGATTGAAGTCACTGCATTTTCATTTAATATAACCCATTGCAGCACCCTGGCAACAACTGAACAATTATTAATGAGTTTGTCCCAGGTCCATCACAGTATTTTATTGTAAATACATAATAACTGAAAATAATTATGAGCAAATTAAAAGAAACACCTAAAGTATTATGTTAGATTATAATCAACACGACAAGACCCCGCTGTCATAGTAGCAACATTATTCATTCAGTACAAACGCAGAAACTTCATTCTCAGATTGTTCAAAGCGTTGCTATACATTCTGAAACCCACTAGGTGTCTCCATAGGGTTGATTCGATGCCCTGAAACACGCTCTTGCATGTTCTGAGGAACGGAACGCCTCGAAAACTCCCTGAAGCTACATCGGCCAGTCACTTCCCACAATTAATTTACCCTTGAGGTGGTTCTGGAGGTAGAATGGTGCTGTAACTTGATAGTAACAGTATCCAGACGTTCTGGTTTATGTCTGGAAAATATTAATTAATGTTATTCGAAGTACTCGATGTGTTTGAATCGAACAGCGGAAGAGGAGAAACTATGGGTACGGAAAAGGAGGAGCCATGGACACGGCAATGGCGCCAAATTCGAAAGCGACGGAGGGTAACGCTGGTGGAAGCTGCGGGTTGGGAGTAGTTAACGACTGCGCTTTATAGTCGTGTATATTCGATTATCGATTATATATAAGGTAACTCTCCAGTAAATGTTTCAGAGCAATGCGCTTTTGATGCTTTTTAGTCTTCCATAGCAGCGAATAAAAAGCTGACCAAGTTGTGTCGCTTACGAATCTTAATATAGTTTATAGGCTAGCTGTCTAAAAACCGGTTTCCGGTTTTAACTGAGTATTTTCGGAATTTGGGTTATGTAACAGTATTCCTTTATTTGGTTGTTTTCGTTGTGTTTACGAATGATGCTATTATAGGATGGAAACTTCAGCTGGCGTCTTCGGAAAGCTCCGCAACCTGGCGCTTCTCCTGGAGACTGAAACGGCCGAACTGCATCGAGCTCATAAGAACCCCCACCACGGTACTGACTTGGATAGCTAGATCTACTATTGATCAGTCTTCCTTACTCTGAACGGATTTTAATGAGTCTGCTTCACAGAAGGCACCGAGGGGACGGTGAAGGTTCTGCACGAACTGCACACCGAAGTCAGGGACCTGAAGGTTCGTATCAGTCATTCTTTATCAGTGTGTTACAGGGTGCAACCCGGCAGCGGGACGTATTTTTGAACAAGGAACTTAATGAAATGTCACACTCTCTGGGGGAAAAAGTCTTCTGAATATTAATTATAGCTCAGAACAAAAATGGAATTGCCAAGACGAGCTTGTCATGAACTTGACGGGTGATGTGATATTTACGTATGTAAATATTGTTTTGTATTGTTACTCCTTATAAAAGTGGGCATTTCGGTACAGATAATTGTCTGCCCAGGTTGAATTCCCAGGTTGAATTTAAACCCACATCTTTTCCATCAGGTGCAGTTCTGTTACCAAAGTCTAATCTTGACTTTCCCCCTTACTAAAAGTGTACTGATGCAGCCTATCCTCCTCCATCACATCTGCATGTTTGCTTGACAGGTCAGGGCTCTACAGTACGCCCGTTTCGCTCGCATATGTGAGTAAAATATTGGTGTGTGGACCTGAAAAAAGCGCTAGGCACGCTGCTGCGAGTGACCTAAAATTATATTTGCTTTTGATGTTGCTAATTTTATGTTTATAATGACATTAGTGTTGTGCCAGATGCCTGAGAGTTGGGAACCATGAAAATGTATTTTTTTGTTTCACCAGTTTCTCCAGTGCTGGGCATAGTTTCTTCAACACATCCTAGCCACCAATTATCATCATATGCAGCCACGACATAACCACTGATGCTTGCAAAGTCGAGTGATTCCCTAAGTGTGCACTTATACTGGGACAGATTTGCACACCTCACTCACCTCTGATGAATGCAGGGCATTTATTAGCCATATTTACTAGCCATGTGGGCCTTTTCAATATAGAGCTGGACAATAGCTTTAAAACAATATAAGTACCACTTTTGTGCAGCTTGCATTAAGGTAAATATAACCAAAGTCATACCCCCACCCCCCCAAAAAAAAAAAAGTTAAAATTTGTTCACTTAAATCTCCCTCAATATCGGTTCCAGACACGCCCAATTTCAGTTTCATGAGTTACTCATGTGACCAAATCAGCATGCCAAGTTTTGTTAATATCCGTGGCCTGAAAGTGAAAGTGTGATGATTTGACTTGGAATGACCCTACAGCAACCGCATATTTGTTCAAAGTACGGTCCGTGTAACATTTATAAGTTCAAATTTCTTAGCACAGATGGATATTTGGAGTTCAAATATCCAAAGTTGGCATTATGAAAGTTCCTGATGAGGATTAGTAAAACACCAAACCAGCCTACCAAATTTACCAAAAATCCAAAGTAATCCCAAAAATATACAAATGTAAAACAACTTAACGAATTATCAGAACTACATAACTAAATATCAGAAACAGAAATTAAACATTTCACTTAGCTTGTTCAAATATGTTTTTATTATACAACATGTATTATACATTTGTATATTTATAATGATACATACCAAAAAACATTTAAAATAAGTTAATAAAATAACATTGTAAACAAATGGTTGGGGCAGAGGGGTCACCACAGCCAAAATGAACATTTCAAGTACCCCGGCCCTAACAGATGTAATCTCACTCAAAACATTCAATGAAACTTGAGAGCCCTGCGTGTCATAATATTTTTTCCAGTATTATAACATTAACATGATAATACATTTTTCAATGGTCATGTATGACTAAATGTAAGTGCAGAAAACATCATGTTGAAGCTCATTGCTTCTAGTTAGAGTTTCGGGGTATTACATATAATTCTCTCAGATATCCTGTCAGGTTAGCATAGCTAGCTTACGTGAAGTTAAATATGTGAATCAAATAGTTAAAAAAAAAACTTAGAAATCCTGTCAGATTAATATGTGTAATGGTAAAAATGCTACATGAAATCTTCTCAAATCATTTCATATAATATGACATACATAGTTAGACATTTTATACATTTACATCACCCGTCTCTAAGCCGCTGCTTCCCTGACAATGAGTAACGCCCACGAGCGCGCATCCTCTTTTTCAAATCTGGCGCCCTATCAGGAACCAGTCGATTAAGTTCATATGTCAAGTACTGATGGAATACCCGGATGGGCTTTCGTTTTTTGGATTTAATAGAGTACACACTGGAGACAATTTTAATGGGCATTCAAATTTAGAGATAAGTGTTGATAGACACACCACAGCACACAGTGCACAATAAAATCTGTCTTCTGCATTTAACCCATATGCCCTAAAGGTTATTTTATGGTTCTATAAAAAATAACCTCAAGGGAACGATTCACAGAACGTTCGTAAAAGGATACAAGAACATAACCTTTGTAGAACCTTCAGGAAACATTCCCTAAAGGTTCTCCCAAGGTTCCACAAAATGTGACCTTTAGAGAATGTTCTAGGAACGATCGTAAAAGGTCACATTTTGTGGAAAGTTTTTAGAACGTTCTCTAAAGGTCGGAACCTTCGGGAAACCTTTAGGGAACGTTCCCTGAGCGTTCTGTGTTTGCTGGGGATTCGCTGCTGTTATGTTAACACAAATGGCACATTAGAGTACACAAAAGGGCTGCACACGCTGAACTTCATCTTGCTTTGAGGTTAAATGAGTTTGTTATTCATTGGTATGGGAAACTGACGGTTCTAGTGTTACCTGGGAGTTGTGCCTTTTACCGCGCACCTTGCATGAAGGCAGCAGGGCATATACAGTCGTGGCCAAAAGTTTTGAGAATGACACAAATATTAATTTTCACTAAGTCTACTACTTCAGTATTTATGATGGCAATTTGCATATACTCCAGAATGTTATGAAGAGTGATCAGAAGAATTGCAATTAATTGCAAAGTCCCTCTTTGCCATGAAAATTTAATCCCAAAAAAACTATACTCAAAATTTCTACTGCATTTCAGCCCTGCCCCAGAAGAACCTACTGGCTTTCAGTGATTCTCTCATTAACATGGGTGAGTGTGTTGATGAGGACAAGGCTGGAGATCACTTTGTCATGCTGATTGAGTTAGAATAGCAGACTGGATGCTTTAAAAGAAGGGTGGTGCTTGAAATCATTGTTCTTCCTCTGTTAACCATGGTTACTTGCAAGGAAACATGTGCAGCCATCATTGCTTTGCACAAAAAGGGTTTCACAGGCAAGGATATTACTGCTAGTAAGATTGCACCTAAATCAACCATTTATTGTATTATCAATAACTTCAAGGAGAGAGGTTGTTTGGGGTATCCGGAAAAAAATTGTCCGGAGGTAAAGGTGAGAGCTACCATCAGTCCCGTGTCATGCCAACAGTAAAGCATCCTGAGACCATTCATATGTGGGGTTGCTTCTTAGCCAAGGGAGTGGGCTCAATCACAATTTTGCCTATGAACACAGCCATAAATAAAGAATGGTACCAAAACATCCTCCGAGAGCAACTTCTTCCAGCCGTCCAAGAACAGTTTGGTGATGAACAATGCCTTTTCCAGCATGATGAAGGACCGTGCCATAAGGCAAAAGTGATAACTAAATGCCTCGGGGAACAAAACATCGACATTTTGGGTCCATGGCCAGGAAACTCCCCAGACTTTAATCCCAATGAGAACTTGTGGTCAATCCTCAAGAGACAGGTGGATGAACAAAAAATTCTGATAAACTTTGCATACACTTAATGTAATTGCCAATAAAAGCATTTGACACTTATGAAATGCTTGTAATTATACTTCAGTATACCATAGAAACATCTGACAAAATATCTACAAACACTGAAGCAGTATACTTTGTGAAAACTATTGCTTGTGTCATTCTCAGAATTTTTGGCCACGACTATATATGCTGAAGTAGTGAATGTTTTACTTTATAATTTGCTACTATCTATGTATGTAACCTGATTATTTTTGTTTCATGTGTATACACAAAATCTGTTTATTTTGAATTTAATTTGCTATCAGGCCATGGCATTAGAGTGTGTTTAATAGAAAATTCACAGATAAACCGGTTACATATAGGCCTACTATACGTGCAAAGCTTGGCCAAGCCAGTTGGACTTTAATTACAGTATGAGTTGTATTGTGAAATATGATAAAACATTAAAAGAAATACAAAATTATCAATCTAGTTTCTTGTCAGTTTTGTCTGTCATGCTTAACCTTTTAATTCCACTAGCTTATATGTGAAATTGTATTATTATGATGCATTAAGTTTGAGTGCTTAAAAAACAGAACTGACTGTGCTCCCAAATTTTTGTCTGTGCTCCTAATTTCTTTAACTTAGGGGCACAAGTACTACTTGGGGGGGGAAAAAACGTTAGCATAGAGCCCTGCAGGTGACCATGCTGTTATGTCTCCTGCAGGTCCAGGTCCGTGACCAGCTGGTATGTTGCAGAGTGGAGGACCGCGAGATGCGGTCCTTCATGCAGGCGTGCATGGTTCTGAAGCAGCGAACCACGGAGGACCTCCGGCTGCTGAGGAGGCACTATGAGAAATATGGGTACAAAGCGCCCTCTGGTAGGTGTCCTTTTATTGTGAGCATCTGCACTGCCACCTCCTGTTGAAGCGTCCTGCTATGGGGTAGTGCTGCAGCCGTGCTCTCCAGAAAGCACCTTAGCAATGGCAAACCATACTGTGTGTACTCAGGCTTATAATAAGCACCAGTGGTCTCAATAATCTAGCAACTGCATAGAACTGAATTTAAGAACTTTAATCTCATTATGCTGTAACAATCAGCAGAACTAAAACCGTGATTAACATGTACCTGACAGAGCATGTCAGCAGAGTGGAGCTGTTGGCTCCTCCGCTCTAATTCGCACTAAGCCGCTCCGCTCAACACCGCTCCTCGCTCCACTAGAATTTCCTCCCGCTCCAGTCAAATCGCTCCATGCTCGCTCCAATTTAAAAGAGGGACAAATAATCTGCATGCCTAACAAATGTCACCTTAAACCAAAGCCTTATATCATAAAGAAATATGAGCAACGGCAACATTGTCACTCAGAAAAGAAAATATTTATTTTTAAACAACATATAGGCAACAACGGACAGGTTTGGCAATGCCATTCCACGCAAAAATAAGTTTAAAAATAAAGGAATCAGTGGGCTTAATAGCCTAAAAAATATACAGACTAAGCATCCACATCTTAAATTCCTCAATTTTTTTTCTGTTGATGCTGCTGCTGCATCTCTATAAAATAAAACTTCACTGACAGTGTTACGTGAAATTAAAAAATCCTATTAGACCTACTTTGAATGACAAAACTAATTTATTTGATTACCAATTTTTACTTTATAGGCTTTTATACTTTTATGTATATACTTGCTATGCTGCAACCATATAAAACTTGCTCACATTTTGCTCTGGCTTCCACCTGTTTGCGTAGCACACTCTCATGTTTCTGAGAAAAGTGATTCCAAAGTGAATCTTTAGTCACTGAAACAGTTTCACCACCTTGTTATTCTTGCTCTACATTATTGTCATCTATACGTTTGATAAGAATAGTGCACCTGTATGATCTATCAGTTTCCTTTGTAAAATATAAAATTCAATCTCGGCCAATTTGTGTAACAGTCTTGATAATTGTACAGATGACTTCTGGGTAGATTTGGGCACACCTCAGAGTCGTAGTGTGAGCGGTATCGGAGCGAAATTGGAGCGAGACAGAGCGACCGCTCCAGTCTTAATTTAAAAACCGCTCCACGCTCTGACCAAATTCCGCTTGCTCCACTCCGCTCACATGCTCTGGTACCTGACAGTTAGACAGAAAAGCTTCCAGCATTTGTGATCCTGAGGCCTACATGAACCTCTGAGCTCTGAGCATTGTAAATTAGCATTTTAAACCACGGTCACCAGCTCTGATTTGTGAGGGCCATATTCCGGCAGGCTTGGGAGAATACATTTCATTTTGCACTTGAATGATAGATGGAGGATTACTGGAACTCTGGTGCACACATGAATCTGAATGCTTTTATTGTTAAGGGGCAAAGTTAGGATTTGTCAGTTTCACAGATGAATGAGCAGCCATGAAATTTTATCAGAACCTTAATACCCAGTGCTTGCTAATACACACACTTGGATACATGACTTTGTATGATGGAAGTTCTTCTAAAATGCATTTCTGGCATACAGAATTCTTATAGAATTCCATTCTGTGACATGGAGTCCCTCTATGTTTTAATTTTGCTTAAATATTACTGGTCTCCCTCTGCTGGTAGAGGTGAAAGGTCACAAAGATGATCAAAAGGCCGAGAAGACTCAAGAGAGCAAAGATAGTGAAGAGGAGGAGCAAGAAGTGGAGGAAGAGAGAGAGCAACATTTAGCAGTGGACGGAGAGACAGACGCAGCCCCCGTTTGCATGACTCCTGCCAAGCCGCCTCCTCGGACGGCTGACCCTATGCGCACTCCCCGCCTTTCTGACTTTGGCCTTTCTGGGTTTCATCTGCTTGCACCACTGGGTGAACCGGCACCACCTGTGGCATTTGCTCCCCCTACGGCCGAGCCCCCTGCTCTCTCCTCCCTGCCCAGGGTACCCAAGACCCCAAAGTGTGCTCTGAAGATGGACGAGGAGGCCCTCACACCCCGACTGGAGGACTTTGGCATCTCAGAGCACACCATGTGCCTTAATAATGACTTCACTATGGATCTGCTGCGGAAGAAACCCTCCCGACTCCACAGGTACATGCTGTATCAGTGCACCTCTTGCTTTCCCTGGTTTTTATTGCATGATCATTAGTGCAGGAAGGAGAAGAGAAACTGCAACTACAGATCTCCTTTCAATGAATAATTTATTGATGTGATCCTGATCTAGATGTGTATTTGTGCTGTCGTTGTAACCAGTGTTTTATTTATAGGTAATCAATGTATGTGACAGTGATTTTTCCTGTAATTCCAATCCTCTAGCTGCATATAGCATCTGTTAATTAAATGGAAGATCATTTATAGCTTAACAGATATTGTGGTAATATTTCTGATCTTGAAACTGTGTTCATAGTACTTTTGAAGTCTACTAATCATTTTTGATAGAAGGGTTTGTTATGCGCTATCAGTTTAGGGACACTGATCTCCTGTATTATGTGGTGTTCTAGCAAATTGTCTTGCTGTGTAAGCTGTTTGTATCTAATTGATGGATGCCTAGAATGGCTTAAAGGGTGATAATGGTCACTATACTCTCCCCATCAGTGTTCTTCTTTTTTATAAATAGTGTACTTCAGAATCCCTCAGTGATTAGGACAGTGATTATGAACATCAATTTTAACCTAAGAGTTTCATGCATCTTTTGAGGTTAAGTACCTTGCAAAGTACTGAAATATCCAGCTATATAGGTAACAAAAAATTGAAGGATTAAACAAATGGTAAAGATGTTAAGGTGGCTTGTATATGTTTGACAGGAAAGGAAACAGATTAACTATGATAGAAGTAGCTATAAGCAAAATTTTATCTGACATTCCTGATGTTTTGACAGTGATGCAGTGACATCTGTGGATCTGGATCCTGTACCTTCTCCAAAACTGGACAATTACCTTCTCTCACCCATGCCAGCTTCAGTGACCAGTGACTCGGAGGCCAATGGTATCCCATCATGATCTGCAAATACCCTCACCCTACAGCATCCATTTGACAAAAATTTATTTCAGTTCTTTTTTAAGTGTACCTTAATTTTGTAGTACATGATTTATTCATTGTAACTATGTATATAGGTTTATTCATTGAAAATATACATAAAAGTTATCAAAACAATTTATTTATTGCCAAGTACTTTAAAATACAAGGAATTTAATTTGGGGTATCATGTAAAACAAGCAACAGCAATCAAGACTGTCCACATAAGAAATTATCTACATAAGTAAAATGTGCTTAATGCCGATAGGGCCACATGTGCCTCGGTGGGCTAAGCCTCTGTGCCTGTTATTGGAAGGTTACCGATTCAAGCATGGCCTCAGCACATCTGTGGGTCCTTGAAAAAGGCCCTTAATTCCCAGCTCCCTGGGTGCTACTGTGGCTGGCTGCCCTTTGCTACCCGATTGCTCTCACCTGCAGAGAGCAAGTTGGGGGAGACGTAAAGAGAATTTTCCCATGGGGATCTTTAAAAGCATCTGTTCTAACCAGTTAGTGCCATGCACCGTAGCAGCAGGTTCCTTAAATGGGCTAGGGCAGGGGGACTGACATAATCAATGTTGGTAATGCCTACTTCCATAGGGAAAAACCTGTTCAGTGCCACTTTACAATAAGGCTACCCATATAAAGGGTTTATGAATGGTTTCTAATCTGGTTATTAATTAGGTGGTACCACTTTGTAAATTATTAATAGACAATTTTAAACAAGTTAGAACAGTTTTCTTTTTATTAATGAGTTACTACCAGTTACAAGTGGCAAAAGGGAGCCTTATTAAAGAGGTACCACCTGTTCTTTAGATGCATGGTTTTGGTCTTGATGGACCTCATCCTCTTACAGGAGATGAATGCTCATACTCAGGATGGGAGGTGTCAGCTGCTATATTTGTTGTTTGCTTCATAGTCCTAGAGGTGTTAATGGAAGAACTTATTCATAATGATAATCCCTATTTCATTTTTTTAAATAATGATTATTCTTGTATATTTTTCTTTTCAACATTTAACAGATGTGGCTTCCCCTCAGCCTCCAGCTCTCTGTACTCCCGGGTTAAAGATCACAAAAACGAAGTCCCATGCTGCTTCTCTATTGGATTCGGACACCACCCAGCTGCCAGATCTGCATCTGACACCAGAACCCCCTGCATTTGAGACCCCCTATGTGAAGAAGCTTGTCAGAGTGAGAGGCACAGATGACTTCTCATATGTATATTTGTATTTGACTTGTATTTGTGTTACTGTGAATCAGCTCAGTTAATGTAAATGTATCTAAAGCAATATTTCTCAACCCATTTCTTGGGGACTGCCAGACAGTACATGTTTTTGCTCCCTCCCAGCTCCCTGCTAGACAGTCCACATTTCTAACACAATGTGTAGTAGTTCTGGGTTGTCTGTGATTGTGAGCAGCAGCAACATGGTCTTTGTGACACTTTTGAGGCCTGATTAATTGTATTTGGAGACTGTCAGGCCAGCTAAGAGGAAGACTGAGAATGCACTTTCTACTCAGGATGAAGAGGCCCGTCCCAGCAAAGTATTCTCCAGTAGAAGTTTTGTTTATCAGCCTGACATCCCCCGCATGCCAGTCAGAGCCACACCAAAGGATGAGAACACACTTGAAATGCCAACCCTAGAGTTGTTTCTAAGCTCTTGCCCTCGTGTGAGTGATGTTTGGATTTTTATATCAGATGCAGTGCTTGCTTTTTCTCTGAATGCCACTGAATGTTGTTTCTGTGGTTTGCCCAGAATGCTGATGGGGCTGCACCACTTGTGACCAACAAGGCATCTGGGGGCTCATTCGGCCTGAAGGAGCCTTTGTTGCCTGACCTGGGGGCTAATCGGGAGCTGCAGGACCATGAAAGGACCTTATTATCCCCTCCAGGCCAGAGCAGCCTCGCTCCACACCCAAAGACCCCTGATATGCCGGACATCAGCTCCTTTACACAGGACATCTTTAAAGTTGAGTGGCTGCCACAGTGGATGATGTGTATCCAGTCCCTATGTCTGTCCATATTGTGGTATCAGTATTAAGGTTCAATTTCATCAACTATTCTACATTCTAATTTTTTTCTGTCTCATCACTTTGCTCTGTTGCCATTCCAGCTCATATCTCAGGATAACATCACGTCCGCTAGTGCAATTACAGCCACTCCCAAAACCACAGCCCTACAGTCAGCCACACCAAGCAGAAAAGAGAACCGGTGAGAAGCAGTGTTTCACTCATAATTAGCAGGCCAAGCTGGCATGGTGATTACAGCTCAAGACTTTTAACTGTCAAAGCTGTGCTCTGCCTGTGATGTGTGTAGCCAAGGTTACTGGCCGGTACAGCAAGCTTCTGTTAGGCTTGCTGCCACAGACAAATTAATTAATAACAATAATTCATGATACAATTGGCCAGGATTCTTAGAATTGACTGAGTAATTATCTCAGTGTGAAGGTACTGATATGACAGAAAATGAATACAATACAAGGTACAGGTGTATATTTCCATGGCTGGTGACAACTTACTCTGCAGAGGAGGCTGTGTTGAATCTTACTGAACCCCCCCTTTAGAGTGCAGGCTCTCAACCTGGTGTTGGAAGAGGAATTCTGGGGGCTTCCAGGATACCTGAGACAGATGCCCCTGTCAAGCCTCAACCAGGCCATTAGGAAGATTAACACTGCTCTAGAGGGCCGTCAGTGGGGTGAGTGAGCTGTGGACACCCATGTCACATTGTTTGGGTTTTCCAGCAGGGTTTACCCACCCCTGTCCTGGAGGATACACTTTGCATTTGATTTATTAATCAGCATTGCATGGCATCTGCATGCTATAACAGGGTTTATGAAGATGGTGAATTAATTTGCTTTAATTCATATATGTACCTCCAATTTTTAGGAAGTTTACATTTTAGCTTGTATTAATCATTTTTGTCAAATCCTTCTGATTTGTTAATTTATTGGATCATAATTATATTTTGGAGCATCACATTCAGCACTAGATGCTAACTTGTACTGTGTGCCTCTCCAGATTCATTAATCTACATCAGACTTATTGTCAAATCAGGATCTGTTCTTAGCACTACATCTTTTCCCACTTTGTCTATTATTGCCCCTTCTGTGTGCAAGTGAGGTTTTGATTTATAATTTGCATTTCCGGTTATCCAATGAGGATAAAAAAGGATGTCATTCAGCTGGTTTGCAGCTGCCTTCCAATCAAAAAAGCCTGTCAACAGACCTGCTTTATCAGGTGGATGGAGAGGCTCAATTGTGAAGTTATTCATACCTGATTTTTAATCATGTTCATTTTCCTTAGCGACCCTCCAGAAACACAGGACAAAGTACATTGTGATTTTTTTGAGTCAAAAATTAAAAAAAATCAGTTTCATTAATCCACCTTAAATCTGTTTAACATATTCTATTATCATACTTGCAAAATTAAGAGCTTGCAAAATTTGTCGTAACTGAACGCTTTCATAATTAATACCAGTGAAGGAACAAGCAATTCAAAGAATTATGCTAAGTTAAATGGTGTGGCCCCTGTTGTCCAATGAATTTGAGGACGAAGTCACCAAACAGGAAATGAGGCCATATCTCAGCAACGATATCATGTATCAAAACCAAATTTGGGATATAGACATGGGATCCAATTCTGAGGTCAACCAACAAACATGGTGCCATTGCACCACTAGGGGGCGCTACCATTGGCAAAAATACATTTTGACTAATAACTGTTGATCTGTTTGTTGGAGAAAAATAAGTCTTGTATTTTCTAATTCTGTGGGATGGCCCCAGGTTGACACCTGGGAAGGTTAATGTCCCCAGAATTCATGCGGCCACCATATTGGATTTTAGTCAAAATTTCAGTATTTTCCACATGACACAAAATTGATCCAATCTTCACCTTTGAAATTTGGCATATTGGTAGGGACTAAGCCACAGTATGCCCTCACCAAATGTGGGGTCTATCCCTCTAGTGCCACCATCAGGCCAAATGTCAAGATACGTTTTTGCATATAACTTTTAAACCCTTTGGCCTAGAATTGTGATCTTTTATTCCCCTGAAGTCTTGGGTCCTCCCAATTCAAATGCACCCATTGTTGTTAATTTCAACCGTATGGGGTTTTTTGCCACATTGAATTTTCTGCAAAACTACTTTTGTGAACTCATCCTAAGTCATTGATGTGCATCATCTACAGTCAGTCCCAACCAAAACTTGTTCAAAGCATTATGCTAAACCAAATAGTAAGTGAGGCCATATCTCTGAAATGCTGTGAGTTGTCAAAACCAAATTTAGAATTTAGACTTGTGACCCAATTCCAAAGGCATTCACCAAAAATGGCGCCATTCCACCACTAGGCGGCACTGAAATAAGCAAAAATGTGTTTTGGCTGATAATTGTGGAAGGATTTCACATAGAAAAACAATTCTTCTGTCTTCTAACACCATGGTACATCCCCAGTCCTCTCCACTACCAAATTTATGTTTGTCTAATTGATGCGGACACCATATTGGATTTTATTGAAAATGTAACGATTTCCCACAGGCAAATGTCTGGGGATTGTTAAGATTGGTCTCTGCCAGTCTTTTTTTTAATTCTTTCCATGCCACCCATGCCTTGGTTGTATGCTTGGCCCCATTTTTGCTGCTTGCTATATTTAGCTTTTTAATTGTTCAGATCATTAAGCTGGTGTCACAGATATGGTGTAACACCAGTGACATTCTGAGTAAAATGGATGATTTTATTTTCTTAATTGCTGCCCCTTTGGGGGGAGGGTAAGGTGACCTTGTACAACTAATTAAAATCAGTCATATATGGATTTTTTTTTTTACACAAATTCAATTACCCAGGACAATTTACTCTTACAAAATTCAATTACCTTACGCGTATAACACCAGTGATGTGCAAAACTTGCATGTTGCCCATGAAACAAAATGATCAATAATATATTGTTTTTATAAAAAGATCAAGTAGACTCTGCTTCTCATTCCTTGAGATGTTTCCTCTATGATGACTCTTGACCCAATGAAGCAGTGTAATAGAGCAATAATTAGTATGTAATTGTGTAATGTAATGTGTCCCAGTAGCAGCAGTGACCAAAATCGTTGACAAATGTTTTTTTTAATGAATTATATATTTTTGAATGTAGTACAATGTTAGTGATGTACGCAGTAAAATAGAACTCTTTTAAATAATTTTATTCAAATTACACCTTTTAGAAATATTGTTTCATCTTAAAAATGACTTCTCAGATGGTGTAATTTGGTTGTGTGATAAGCAATTTTACAAGTTTGGAGCAGGAAACATAGAAACATCAAACAAATCACGAGGGAAATGTCCTATTTAATCATACATCAACTATGTGAATGTACATGGTGATTCTTGGAGCTGTGACTAATATTTTAAGCATGTTTAAAGCCCTGTAATTTCTATGACATGGTTTCCTGCTTCGAATGGAGAATGACCCACTTCGTTTAAGCTTGATTTGACATCCAGTTTGTACAACTGCCTGTTAAGAGAGCTGTAGCATTTACATTTGGATCTAAGTTACTAATAGAGTGGAGTGAGATCACTGATTTGGCCGTTTTTGAACACAGTATTATTGTTTGCATTCAAAGATGCAAAAAAAATAAAAAATCTGCACAGCTGCATGATGGAGTTGAACTGTTTCCTTTACACAGTTCCAGTTCCTGGTAGCTGTTTCTGCCCGGAGTGTACTTTGACATCTGGTGCTAAACCTGACGTGAAATAGCCTTGCTTATCTTTGCATATTCAGCAAGGTAATGAACTCTAAAATGAGTGCTGGGTTGTAGTGGTGCTCTCTTTTTTAATGTCTTTTCAGTAGATGTGGCAAGAGACTTTGCTTGAAACCAAATCACTGCAGTTGCCTTTTTCCCAACCAGGTCACTCACCTGTCTTACTGTCAAAGGTCTAAAATAGGCTACATTTCTTGACTTTATAGCTGGATTTTTTTGCAGTGCTGACAAACATCTATGCACAACTGAATTTCAATTGCTGATTATCATGTCAAAGTAAAAATATTGTGCTGACTGCATAATATTGTCCAAGTGCGGTGCTGGAGACTTCTCGTTTGCCTTGATCACACACGTTTCCAGAGCTTTATTTTAATGAGGACTGTGGACTGGATTGTTTATGCAGATATCTATATTGGCTACATTTACTGAATCGGCAGAAGAGTCATAAGTCCATGGACCCTTGAGCAAGGCCCTTAAACCTCAAGCTATGGAGGCCAAGACTGGGTTGGCAAAGTGAATCATTCCAATGTGCCCATGGCAAAGCATGTTTGGTTTTTTTGTTTTGAATTGTCAGATATACACTAAATCAGCTGTGAGATGGTCCTTCCTGGAAGTAAAATGACTAATGTTGGACTTTTTCCTCTAACATAACACAGGGGGCAGTACAGAGCCTGGACTCTTCCTGCTAGATGAGCTGACGAGCATCACAGGTGCAGGTCTGAAGGCCCACGTGTATTTCCTCTGCCTCACTGAACTCAAGAGGCTGGAGTGTGTGCTGGGTGAGGGGTCCAGCTCTGTGTTTAGAGTATGCAGCCGAATCTGATGCTCATGCTGAAGCAGCTCTACTTCCATGATAGTGTAGCCCCCATGTAAAGATGTAATTATACTAGCTCTGCACTAGCCAACAGTGAGTGTGCCTCCATGTAATCTGTGAATAAAGCTTTGCATTGTAAGTTTGCTTCAATTGGATGATTGAAACGTGCTAAAATTTGCCCTAATTCACAAGGTCACAGGATGTATGAAATCCATTCCAGATTAATACATTTAAAATTTTATTGAAAAATCACATTGTAACAAGTTCTCTGGCCATTGCTTTATAATGGCAACAAGTCAAAAGGGTTGGAATAGAACACAGGAAGTTTCAGATGTAAGCATATCGAACAAGTCAGAGGGAGACAACTCCATGACAACACCTGTACAACCTATGCAATACAAAACTGAAGGGGGTGTCAGTAGGGCCTCATGCGACTAGGAAGGGGTGGGGCTCTGTTAGGAGGCGTGATGGCAATATCCAGGTAGTCACCAATCTGGAAACGTTGCGACTGTAGAGTCATGGAATCATCAGCACCTTTCCGACCCGACACAGTATTGCCAATGTCCTTCACTCTGCAAAGGTAGAAACAAGATTAAAACTGATGCCATACAGATTTAAATACCACAGACATATACACAATCTACTAAAGGTGTGCCTGCCACACTTCTATAGAAATTCAACAGTTTTCACATAAGGAAATGGTACAGATAGCTCAGGAGTACTCACTGGAATCAGAGTTAAAACAATAAGGTGGCACTCGCTCAACTACATCTTCTGTCTGGAAGGGCCTTTAAATGGATTGAAAATGGAACCAATTGCCATCTACCATGCAAACACCACCAAAACTTGAATTGTTCCCTCTGAATTGAAACTACTCAATATTTTGTACCATGGAAGAAAAATAAGACCATTAGTTACAGATCTGCAGGCTCTGGTTTACACACAAGACCAATGGGTGTATGAACAATAGATACCAAGAGCCCTCATTACAACTGCACATCTGTGGGATTCCATGAAAACACAAATTTGCCCAAAAATCTCAAAACCAAACTGTCCCAATTGACATATTCCTTAAGTTTAATCAAATTTGTCATTTAGCTAGGTGTCTAACTGCCAGTGTGTCACAAGGCTACTCATTCAACTCCACTTTCTACACTACTGCCTGGTCTCTAGAGATACAATCTGTCAAACTATTAATGTTTCTGGTTGACCTTAACCTTGGTAGGATATTCTGAAGTGTGGCTACAATAACGTCAAACAACACCATCAAAATGGCTTAAAGCAATATACCTACATTTCGGGCTGCACAGTATCACATAACTATTATATGGCGCATGCGCAATAATCACCAGGGCTTCAGATGACTGGCTTTAACATTTGTCCGAATGCCGGCTTTTCGGGAGTTTACCTATGCCTACAGCAAGCAGATTAGCAATACCCTTAAAACGTTAGTAAGAGGCATAGTGGGAACCAAAAGCTGGTCATCTGTATAAATTAGGTGTATCCTTAAGTTTAATAAATGTCGGACTTTAAACTGCAAAAAGTATCACCACACCACTGGTGTCTTTTTTTTTAAATCACCTCCATGATTTACCAGAACAGTATGTCACATGTAAACATAAGGATATGCTGAATTTATATAGATTACTAAGTCTTGATATTTTTGGCCCAACACTAACCTGTTTACCAAATTATGGGCGTAAGTAAGCATCCATTTAACACAAACTGGTGATGGTCGTGCATCCACCACTTAATCCCAAAGATTCCCCAACCTCTAACACCCAGACATCAGTGATGCAATGATATCAGGCACCACCTCCTACTGTTCCCACCAAACCAAGGCCTCACATTTCAAAATCACACTCACAACTATCTTCATTCTTTTAAACTACAAACTATTTCGACATTTCTAGATTGCAGTTATCCAGGGGATGTAAAATTGGTGTTAGCTGGAACTACACTAGATATTTCATTACAGCCCACATCTTCGTAGTTAACTAAACAAAAAGAGCAGTCATGTACTTGGTAAACGTTGTTCATTATAATTGGGACTACATTAACTTATCCTTACCTATACCCCTGCCTTTTGGGGTCTGGGTAGACTATGGCAAAGCCAAAATGTGTGCCTTTTTTTCGAGCCTCAGGATAAACCTCTTTTACCAGACTGGTCAGCTCCTTCAGAGTAGCATCCATCCTGTTACAAGGCAGAAACATCCAGACACCATTTGTTACAATATCTTCTGTACATGCCCAGCCGCTGAAAGAAACGTGCCCATTTCATTCCGGACTCGGGAACCACTCAAATTACACACATTACAAAATTATGAATCTTGAAAACTAGACGTTAAACCCAGACTTAAAGGTTCAAGAAGTTCCCAGGCAAAGAGGGAAAATTATATTGCACCTGTTAAACGTACGTCGTTTGAACTGCTCCAGTACGATGTACAAAAGGAACTAAAATGTATTCCTTTCGCTCACGACGGGGTTAGTCGTGGCCAGGGGAGATGTGTTTATTTCTTGGAAACAGCGAAGTAGACGCACAAACATACCAGGTGTATATTTGCAGCTCGCTAGAGGGGACGTTACCCCGAGCAAACTCGTCCATCCTGTGATGCCTGCCGTTGTTCGTGGTGAAAACCCGCAGAAGCAGAGGACAAGTCTGCAAACAAGAAAAAGCTTGCGTTTGTGAACTTATATGCTGACCACAATGATACAGGTCGTTGATTAAAGTTGACTATAGGTTTAAGCAACGCTTGGACTGGAACCCAAATTTGTAAATTGTAATAAAAACAAGATAACACACAGAAATAAGCGTACCGAATTCTTTTTTGTCATATTAGTCGCCCGATGTACATGCAATGATAATTAGATAACCCAGAAATGGAAAAACCAACACAGCACATTAAGTTACCTACAAGCTAAAACGAAATACTAGCCATTGGTCAACAAAATGTAAATCACTCAGCGCATGTACAAATTATAATCAAAACTAACCTTTTCTCTGTCAACGGGCTTCTCGGGCTCCTTTTTAATTTCTTCTTGTGTTACTCTTGATTCAACAGCCATTTTCTGTGCTTTTCAAAAAGCGAGTTCCACTATTCCACTAGCTACCACCCCACGCCAAACACCGACACGACCGTTACTACTTCCGGTTCACGGCGTTCATTAGCGCCTGACCTAAGGCGGACCCTTTTCCGCTTTAAGCACAACCCTCCCCGCTGGGGGTGAAGGTTACGTCAAACAAAGTTTGCAACCCAGTATCGCTGGTAATCATATCGAAATAGTATCTACAAGCAAATTAAATAAAATACAGAATCGACATTTTGAACACATCAATTCATTATCTTCTGGAGTGTCAACGACATACTGTACTGAAAGAAATATTTAAATAAAAGTTACAAAATTCTTTCTTCAAATTCAGTATTCGGAATATATGTACATGGTCTCGTTAACGTGCAGTCTACTTAGATGACGTTTTTTTCCAGATCATTTGCCACATTTTACGTTTATACTGTTAGATGTTTAGTGCAACAGTACAGGGGCAATCGCTCTTGAGAATGGAAACGACTTATTGAGTTAGAGATCCAGTTGGGTGAGTTGAGGTATTATCATCGGTTCTCGGTGGGTTACGATTGCTCAGTGGAGAACAAACCAATATTTAGTTTTTGCCATATAACAAGAACGGAGGGTCGCCCACTTGCTTGCGAATCACAAAAACGTGACGCCCCGGGAGAAGAGCGCCTCCCCGCCAAATGACGACACAAAACCCTCGTACTTCACAGCGCTCGGGACGCCATTTTGGGAGTCAGGCAATGTGTTGAGAGTCTGGAGCAGAATTGGAGGTCCGCCCGTTTCGCGATCGATAACAAGATGGTCCACACGTGCGTGGTGGTAGGCTGCCGGAACAGAAGGACTCCCGGCACCACGCTGTCTTTCTACCGATTCCCCCGCGATCCAGAGAGAAAGCAGCGCTGGATCGCTGCGGTGAACCGCGAAGGGTGGCAGCCGAACGAGGGCAGCAGACTGTGCAGTACTCACTTCATCTCAGGTGGGAGTCTGGATCGTCTGGACATGTGACTGCGGGGTCACGATTAACTCTCATCCTCCTTCGTTATCAATAGGATCGGAAAAGTTACGTGTAAAAGTTCTGCGCGTTTTTTGTGGTGTTGTAACAATGTGAATATGACTGAATTAAATAAAACGTCATGGTTTTATTTTTCTTTAGTAGTTTCTCATTGGTCTTAATTGCATGTTTTCCGCAAAACATAAGTCTAAAGTAAAAACAGTGATTAAAAACAACATTGAAATATTAATGTATTGAGCTGATCCAATAGTTTCGGTTGAAATGTTTCTGGCTACTGTTGCTATCCCAAAATATTTTTTGAGGTTTGTTGTTAATATTTTCTCTAAAGGTAAGCAGGTGAAGAACCCTCGGTCCCCAGACTATGTTCCATCTGTGTTCAGGACATCTTCGATGACTGGAACGCCAGACCAGACAGGGGCCTTTGATTTTTCTGACAAGCAGCAGGCTCAGGTGGAGGCGGCCAACGCCCTGCTCTTTCTGCAAGGGCAGGCTCTGGAGATGGGTTCCCAGCCAGGGCATTACCTAGAGCATGACGGTGCGGAGAGCGTCGCATCTGCAAGCAGCGGCAGTGCCATCAATGTCCCCATGCGGTCGAGAGACATTGTGACCCCAGCTGAGAGTCCGCCCAGTAGTGACGGGGACGAAATGTCTTCCGTCAATGACGCTATAGACTATGAGGAGGAGGTAGAGCGTCTCCGTCGGGAGAACCGGGCACTACGAGAGCTGGCGGAACGGGCATCTCTCACAGAGGCCTCGCTCAGGAATGACCCAGTGAAGGTGCGTTTCTATACGGGGCTGCCCAGCTACTTTGTGCTCGAGACAATCCTATGGCTGCTGTCGCCACGGATGCGGGCCGACAAGACCGTCAAACTGTCCCGCTTCCAGCAGCTGCTCATCACCCTCATGCGCCTGCGACTGGACCTTAGGAACCAGGACTTGGCCTACAGGTTTGGTGTACAGGTCGGAATTGTGGCTCAGACGGTCCGCAGCGTCGTGGATGCCATGTCTTCAACGCTGGTGCCTACTGCTGTGTTCTGGCCGTCCCGGGAGGAGTTGCGGCGAAACCTTCCAACAGCGATCCAATCTGCCTGTCCGGACTGCGTTGCCATCGTGGACTGCTTCACGGTAGCCTTGGAAGGTTCCAGTGAATCTGGTGTGATTGGTGGGGCCTTGAAGTACCTTATTGGTGTGGCCCCGCAGGGTGTTGTTACCTTTGTGTCCAGGGGCTCTCCGGGTCACGTCAGCGACAGGGAGCTGGTGGAGAACTGTGGCTTCCTAGCCAAGTTGCTCCCAGGGGATGTTGTGCTGGCTGGCCGTAATCTGGACGCCGACGAGGCGGTTGCTGCCCGGGGGGCCCAGATCAGGATTGCAAACTCCAGGGGGGATGTGGGGGGAGAGGGGGAGGAGAGAGCGGTGCTGAGGAGACACGTGGAGCGGGTGATCGCCATGGTCAAGCGGAGGTATGCCATGCTTAATGGCCTGGTGGAAAACACCTTTGATATGAACACCTTCGACAGGATTGTCCGCGTGGCGTGTGCCTTGAACAACCTGTGCATATCAGCCACACCTCTAGAATGACTTTTATCACTATTGTTTTTAAGCCAAATCCCCTTTGACTTAATTGATCCTAGATCCTTAACCACTGCAGTGAACCGTGGTGTTTCTTGAAAGCTGTACACACACCTGCAGCCTTCGTATGAACGTCAACTCCCTTTGCTCTTCCAGGGATATTTAAAAAGTCTTGCTGTGGTAGTGAAACTGGGGCTATGGAGGTATCTGTGGTCCAGTTACAAGGGTAGCAGATATAAGCCTTGGTTAGTGGGGGGATTTTCTTTGTGAGATACTTAAAAACTTTGAAACAGAAAAACAGAGTGGTCATTCTTCCAGTCACATATGGGGAGGACAATGATATGAGCCGAGGTTGTGGGGGGGATGACCTCCAGATGTGTTACTGCTTTAATTTGCCAAGCAAGGCATACCTAGTCCCTCTGTGGACGCTAGCACTGTTTCTCTGGAGCTTGTGCCTTAAAGTGAGTCATTTTGAGATCCAGTTGCCAGTCAATGACAGTCGACAGTTGCATATTATAGAAGTGTATTTCAGCCCTGCTCCTGGAGAAACACTGTCTGCTTTTATTTTCTTGGACACAAATGAGTTATCATTGTAACTGAACATAAATGGACGTTTATATATATTAATTAATTCACCTGCTTCAGCTATTACAGCAATCAAACACAACAGAAGACAAATACATTTTTGACAAATAATTATTTACTCAGTGGCTTTGGTCTCAAAAAATGATCTTAAGTTGAATATTTATATTTCTGTTTGAAGTGTACAAGTAAATCAAGCTAGTTTAGGACATGTGACTTTTGAACTTGATTACTATTGGATAGATCTGGATGTTCCTTCTTTTGGAACTTCACAGTCAAGCCTCATTAACTACCAGTTTCATTGGGGAGGATAACTCATGGTTTCCCGGGATCAGAGCTGAGATGCATTGCTGTAGGTCAGTACAGGTGTGCTGTTGATTATGGTGTGGGCAATGATGGATAGGTGGGTTAAATTGCACACCACACTGACTGTGCTTATATATCTATTTTTTCTTTTTATTCACTGTCATGTTGTTTATTGTTTGTCAAGGTGCTGGTCAGCCGAACTGCGAGATCCATCACATATCATTGTGCTAATTTCAGCATCATGCCGTGCTAATATGAAACAATGTAAAACATTTTCATTATGTGCTCACTGGATGCATCCCCATTACACTCAATGTGACCAATTATTGTTATAAAGTCTTATTTCTTCATCATGAAGTAGCTGGGAAACTGGATATTTTAGGTGATGTATCCGCAGGTACTGATATCACTTATGAAACCTTAATTTAAATATCACGACTGTATGAAAATAAGCTGTGGATTTCTCTTTGTCTCTGTTTTCCTTTATCTGTAGAGAGAATGCAAACTGATGAGAGCACCTCTCACTTAAAGGGGACAGTCTGTTATGTTGAACGTTGTCTGTATTGAAATATTTATTTGTAATTATTTTTTAAGAGCTCATGAGAAAGGCTTGTTAAGCAGTGAGCTCGGGAAAGATGTTCTTATGGCAAATGCATATTTTCATCCACAAAATATCAAGTGTCACATTGCTCTGAAGTATTTGTTCCTAACGTAAGTGACTTGCCACTGAAGTCATGAGGGATGCAGGTTGTTCCTGCTGTGAATACACTCACCTTATCCTGGGATTGCAGTGTGCCATGGGTCAGTGTATGCTGTGTGTGCTTGTGGATGCCAGCAATGAAGACACACATCTTCTATAAGCTCCTTAGCTCTGATGCATGGCGTCCTAAATCCTTTCTAATCTTCCTATTCATCTTCCAACTGTTTAACCAGTGTAGCAGTTGCTCCTGTAGCAGAGACCCTAGAACAGGGTTCCCCAGTTCCTGTCCTGGAGGGCAAGTCTGCAACATGGTTCACAGATTTCCCTGCTCAAACACACCTACTGAACATGGCAATTTGCTGTTGAGCTGAAAAAGGTTTGTTTGAGCAGGGAAATCTGCAAACTGGCCCTCCAAGACCGGAACTGGGGAGCCCTATCCTAGCACTTCTCACAGGAAGCACATGGCACAAGGAACAGGAACACCCTGAAAAGGCATCCTAGCAGTTGATAGTGCTGCCTGATGAAAAATAAAAAATGGCAGGTTTTTTTTTTTGTATTATGACTTAAAAGGCTATATATAAGTGTGTGTGTGTGTGTGTGTGTGTATATATATACATACACACGCACACATACACACACACCAGTTATATTTGTGAAGGACAATAGACTCATGGTCCAGAGTTACCTCTAAAAGTTTCATAAAGCTGACATTCAGTTACCATTTTCTTTGAGGAAATGTGCTAAAAAGCAGAGGTCTGTTGTGCTGGCGACAGGCATCACAGGGCTGGGGCACTGGGGGCTGAAGCTCCAAATGAAGCCCCGAGCGATTTGCTTAGGTCAGATGATTTAAGAAACACTCTCTCATTTTGAGAACTAAGGCTAAGCCCCAGATGTCTTAAGATCGTAGCAATGCTCCTGGTCTACTATTCCCCTCCCGTATCCAATTCAATTTTCAATTCGGTTTTATTTGCATAGCACATTTCCCAATATTACATTGTCTCAAAGTGCTTTAAATTATCACTGCCCAAAGCCCCCCAGTGAGCAAGCCTCACTCCCTAGAAGGAAGAAACCTTGGGAGGAACCAGACCCAAAAGTGATAGGAGGTGACATGAGACACAATACAATATCAAAGGTGCAAAGGCTTGCAAGTGACATATAGGCTACCTGACAAATCAGCATTTAAACTTGAAAATAAGGAGACAGAGCACTGGGACATAACTGCAGGAAAAAAATTCGTTGGCTTCTCCCAGGAAACTTTAATGGGTGTGTTTGCAGTTGGTGTGTGGCAAACTTAAAATTACAGTTTGAGCACCAGGTGAGGTAATTTCATGCACTCAGTACATACTCATACTTGCCGAGAAATTGTGTTGGGTGAGTAAGGGTTCCTATAAGTACATGTCCTGTACACCAGCTAAGCATAGGTGCATTTAAAAGCCTGTCCAGAATATTGCGCACAGCAATGATTCATAAAGAAAACAACACCTGACATGTAGGCCTATCGATTGAGAAATATAATAATCACAAAGTGTATTATTTTTTAAACTCAATTTCAAAAGTTAAACAGGCCTGCATAAAACGTCTACTTTCATCTGATTAAATGCTGTTTTGTTTCGCGCGGAGCATTTCTCTGGCTGGGAATGGACAGGCTGTATAAAATAGCATTTGTACAGGAGGAAGCCCCGCCTGCGATATGTGCAGCGCTGACGCGCATCGGGTCGCCACGTGACTCCTCTGGAATGTTAACAATGCAGTTAAGTGTCCAACATTCTAAATCGGCCCAGAGTCGCGAGAAAATGGAGTCCCATCACAAACTAGAATTCCTGCACTTCATATGATTTGTCGCCTTTCCTTGATCGTACAACACAGTCGGATAGCTTTGGGTCTGGAGGGAAGGTAATTGTGGTTTTGTTTAATTCGCTTCTCGGTTTCCTTCCTGCTATTTTCCATTACTTTATTCTGGTGACCACTGGTAATGCTTTGCGAACATTTTCGGTTACTTCAAAGCGATGTGTATTTAAAACATACAGTTCCACTGTGCGAAGAACATATATTTAATCATTGTTGTCAAAGAATTGACTGAATGGATTATGAGTACAGTTTTCAGCGCGTTTCAACAGGCTTAGAGAAAGAGCGCTGACATAAGTTGAAATTCACCCTAAATTGGAATGTAGCGCTTCCTTCGTGGAAGCCGCGTTCCACTCGCTCCAGAGAGCTAAAAACTTTGAGCTTCAAGTTAAGAAGACTTTGGAAGCTTTGTGGCGACTTGTACCTTTCCCAAATGCTTTCGATCTGGTCAGGGAAGTATATAAAAATAATGAGGCGAAGGAGGCGCAATTGGATATATTTTATGAAAGTCATTTTGCCGTGGTAATGTAATTTTTGAAGTTTTTGTTTTCATTAGTTGGCCCGGGTAGTACAGAAAGTGCAGTGAGGCACATTTTTTTAAAGAACGCAATGTTTTCTCAATGGCAGAAATTTACAATACTTGTAAATAGACATAGTTTTTGATTACGTTTTTTTGGAGTTTATCATTTCTGTACTGACAAGGGATTAACAAGGATGATTACGTATGTTTGTCTGATTATGTGGAAATACTATCTAGTGATTTCATTTTGATGCAGGATACATCGTATGTCCCCGTGCTTAAGTTACGGAAACATTCCGAATACCAGAGAAATACGTCTTTCTTTTTTCTGTTTTTAAGTGGCCACGTAGTTTGCAGTTTAGTGAAGCTGTGCATTTTACTTTAGCGGTATATCTATATGGGATCACGTTTGCATGCGGAATATTGAGCGTGACGTGAAATTGGGAAGACCACAATAAAGCATGGCGATTAAATGAAGCAATACTGCTGTGTGGTACGATTGGCAACTTTCAATTGTAAACTGCCCAGATTAATAATAGCCATGAATTGCTCTGTTTCATTAAGATGTTAGATTTTAGATTTAGAAATTACGTTTTCATTGTAGCCTAATGGCTTTTATCTTGGTGAAATTTTACCATTAGTTAGTAAACTTTAGATTTCAGAGAACCGATAAAGACTGAAATATCTGCTTTACAATTTTTTCCTTTTTTTCTTGAGAAGAATGCAAAAGAAATTCTTAGGGACTTCTAAAGGCAAATGAAAGGTTTCCATGTCTAAAAGCATGTGTATGCAAGAATCAATTACCACATCGCGAAGACACGCAATTTAGACTGACTATAGCAAGTACGCCTCCAGAAAACGATCATCGTGCGAATAAAATAAAAACTGGAAAAAAATATTCACAATGTAAATGACAGGAAATCCCAAGATCCACACTTCACTCAACAACCACCTGACAAAGTAATAAACCTAAAAGTAGGCAAATTTAACGAATGAAATAAGTAGTGATCGTCTGATATTTGCAAGTAATCACGGGTAATACATAGATGTAACTTCGTTATTGACGGTCGTGCATCTACGGGATGTGTGGGTAACAAATATGACGAAAACATCCAGCTGTTTTCCTACCGCTTATCCTGGACAGAGTTGGAGGCTGTTCCAAGTAATGTGGGGCAAAAAACAAGGGGCATCCTCTGCGTGATGTAAATCCATCACAGGGCACCCGCAGACACGGCAGTTAACAAAAGTGCCTGTCTTTATAGTGAGGAAGGAAAATTGTAAAATTAGGGTGGAACACGCAGAAACGCAAACCACATGCGGGATTCAAACCCCGGACCCAAGTCAACAACCCTGCAAATGCTATTATATATAGGAATCCGACCTTGCGCCTAGTTTGCATACACACGTCTTTAAGTGACACTGCATGCATCGCCCGCTTGTACCCTTTTTTTGTTGTTGCCTTCCTCCGGGGATCGGATGCTATGAAAGTTCTTGTCGTTACTTGTGGAAAGGAATGCCTGCTGTTAAGCTCAGCGAGGGCGAGAAGAAGGCGGGGAGTCATGGGAGTTTCGCGAAGGAGCCGGAGATTGGGCAACTGCCGCCCTACATCTGCTCGTCACATTAAACCGTCCCATAAGCCGAATTCTCTTAGCAGGACTAAGATCCAAAACGACACAGAAAACGTTTCTCCTCTCACTGCGGGATAATAATTGGACCTTAGGATCCGTGTGATACACATCGATGGATGCGCTCTTTTTCGACGTTTTCATTCTTGCCAATGCCACTTTGTGAACGTCTCAGAAAGATGAGTGCATCAGAACATCAGACAAAAAAGAAAGAACATTACATTTTTTTTACAGACATTTTATACAAAAACGTGTGCCGTAAATAAGATTATTGTTTGACAGCTAGAAAGGACAGCTCTTTTCCATGAAAGCGGCTTGCCAGTGTTTGTTTTTATTTTGCATTTATCTGGTGCAAAGCAGTGTACAGGTGAGCAATACATGGAATCAGAAAGCGTGAGCAGCCAGTGACTTGAGAGCAGTTGGGGGTGTGAGCCTTCCCCAAGGGCCCAGCAGAATGATGTGATCATTCTGCCAGCCGCAGGATTTGAACCCATGACCTGCCAGAGCCCCTATCCCATTGAGCTACACACCACCCCAAAAATTCCTTATCCAGCTATGTTAGATACCTGACGTCTGGGTGAGGCGGGCTTGATCTCTGGATGGTCAGATAGCTCAGAAATCTGAGGCAATACACAGTTTTGAATGCTTTTCACACTGCAGCACAGGAAGTGCTAAGATGAAGAATTTGTTTTCTTTTTTACAGAAAGATTTCAAAATAAGTAAGTGGTATTCAAACTGCTAACCAGCACATCTCATCTGTTTCTCACAAGTAAATTTATGAACTGTTTGCCTATACAGGGAACACACAGCGTGAAGCCATGCAGACAGCTCTTCCAGGTTCCACAGTGTGTTCCTGAGGTTCTTATGTCAGTACAATAATTTGCACATTTGCATTGCTCTTTTGCTGTGGAATATAATTGTACCTCCAGCTGGCTCACAGGCACAGTTGGAAGTTGGCAGATGCTCACCATCATTTTTTGGATGGTCTGTGTTGGCCTATGCGAGATGGGGCTGCTTTCCCTTTCTGCACATTTCTGTTTGGCTATGTATGATGCAGTGACTGTTCTGCAGTGGTCAATAATGGCTCTGTGTTTTGGATGCCGACGGACATGGACTAGGAGTCACTCGTATTTGTGTGCTGTTCGTCTTTCTCCTTGCTGAGAATAAGGGAACTCTTCTTGTGTTTAAGCAGACAATTCATAGATTTAATGAAAGAGTAATGGTGAAAGAAACATCTTCCAGTTTGTCTGATAGGGTAGCCTAAATTAGTTTAGCAGTTTTAAAAATTAACTGTCTACACTAGCAGTTAGCTTTGTGTCAGTCTGTATATTTTTTTCTATTGCTGCAAATGCTTGTCTAAAACAGGAAATTTGGAGCAGCGTCTTGTTGTATGTTCTTGTGGTCATTGTGGTCAGTATGGATTACTGATGCACACTGAACGCTGTGGTGTCAAGATCCAGATGCTCTGATATTTTATATCTTGTGTTTAAGTCTCGGAAACAATTTTTCTTTGGGTGCTGGAGGTGAGTGACCTCTACCCAAACCATTTTGTGTATTTGATTAATGTCAATATCCTGGCATGTCCGTAAGTTTATATGTATTTTTAATGCAGGTCTCATGTTCAGGAGGTCTGTGGATGTACGTGCCTCCTCTGCATAGTCAAACCCAAATCACACCATAATGGCTGTGCCCTAACCACACTCAGTCGGTCGAATATATAGAAAACTCTTTTGGCCACACCCAAACTCCACCCCCCAGTTATGTCTTCATATCCAAATTCAAATCACACTGTAGCTGTCACAGCCCAGCCATGCAGAGATGACCACACCCAAACCTAACCCTCACTCCAATGGCTGTGCTTCCTGTGTCCTTAGGAAAGTGTCAAAGGCTACAATGAGACAGCGCGACCCTGAATGTGAGCATCTGCACATGATGTTGGACCCAGAGAGACTGGACCCCTAAGGCCATGCAGCAGCAGAGACCCCAGGATCAGCTGGCCTGAACCCCAACTCCCATAGAGACAGCGACAAAAACAACAAGTATAAATCTTCCAGAACGAGCTGTGATACGGGTCACCTGAACAGGAGAGCTTCAACTGCCACGGTGTGCCATCCTGAGATTTCTGATAGGACAGAGAGAGAATCACGTGTGTGCATGTGTGTGTGTGCCTGAGAGACGGACCTAGTGTACAGAAGGAGGGGACGTTGGGTCGACCATGCGGCCAAAGACATTCCCTGCCGCTCCTTATGTGGGAAACACACGACAGCGTCTGCAGGAGATCAAGGAAGGCCTGAAGCAGCCAGCTAAGCTGGTGAGCCAAGCCTTGCACGGCGGGGCCGGCCGAGGTGCCAGTGATGGCAAAGGCAAAGACCCCGCCAGTCGGCCAACTTCCCAACAGCAGCAGCCTCATCAGCAGCAGCAACAGCAGCAGGCACGTCCACCGCAGAAGTTCAACCAATACCAGAGTGCCCTGCGTGAGATCCGCAAGTCCCTGATGCCCTTTGCTAATGACTCGGGCCCTGCCTCTGGTTCTGGATCCGCCCACACCAGTGGAGAAGTCAACAGGCAAATGCTGCAGGAGCTGGTCAACGCTGGTTGTGACCAGGTACAGTCCTTCTGCATGTTCAAAGGAATTCTCATCAGTGATGCTTTGCTTTGTTATTGATGCTTTTGTCACTAAATAATTTCATTGGTAATGAAAAACTTGTGGAAATTCCCTGGAAAGTACCATTGGAACTATTCCAATATATTCCAATATATTCTTATTATTTAAGGAGTATGTGCTGGGAAACGAGGTTTCTGGCTTTCCAGGGTCTGTTAAATTTATATGTTAAAACTTTAATGGGATTGCTCATGTGGAAGATTATTGTGTGTTTTAGATACACTATATTTGTTGCTCAGGGAACTGTTGTGATGGATCTTCCATCTGAGGCTGAGTCATTGTAGTCCTGGCTGTACACAGCAGGGACATTTTCCCTTAATGTGACATCAGTCCACTTGTCCCTAGCCTCTTATACTGTATAGTACTGTGACCCTGTCGCCTGTATCAGGAAGCACGAGGTAAAAGACGAGGGACACCCAGGATAGGACAGCACACACACTAATTCTCTGAGGCAACAGTGCTAACCACTTACCTACTGTCAGTGTAGCACGTGTGGTTACATTAAATTAAGTTTTGATATTTACAATGTATTCCTATGGTTAGTTGGTTAAAATATGAATTTTGAGCTGGGTGGTGTGGTGGTGCATTTGGTTAGTACTGCTGCCTCTCTCATGACTCCATATGTGTGGAGTTTGCATGTCTTTCCTCCACAGTCCAAAAACATGCTAATGATGAATTGGATTTGCCGAATTGTCTGTATGTACAAATGTTGTGTGTGAGTGTCCCCTGCGATGGGTTGGCGGTCTGTCCTGGGTTATTCCTTGCCTTGTGCCCATAGCTTCTGTGGCAGGCTCTGGACCCCCATGACCCCACATAGGACAAGTGGGTATAGAAAATGGATTGATGTTTTGAGCCTTTTTTTGTTTCTATAAATGAAAATTGCCACTTTTAGGGATAAATTTGCCAGGAACAGCTTGGAACTGTAGAAATGCCTTTGTTATTAGGTGTGTACCCAGCTGTGCAGTAGTGTCTGTTAAAACAAGCTTTGCAGCCTGTGTAACCAGTCTTGTGTCCAGGGTGGACACTGGTACCAGTGTGTAGGAGAGTTTATCTAGAGGGGGACTGAGAGTAATTTGTGACCTGCCTCCCCCCCAAAAAAATAGGTGACTAAGGAACACTCAGAGCTCACCAGCCCAGAGTCATACAAAGCGTGTTGCATTGTGAGGCCACATGACCTCCCATCCCGAGCAGCAGGTTCGATTCGTGGGAAGGCCTGGGTTCTTAATCCACTGCCCTCCCATCATTCCCCTTCCATCCCCCTGCATGTACTTCTCCGGCACATTCCGCGGATGGGAGGGTGACTAGTCTTCATGACCCCTGGGGCTTTTCCCAGAAATGTCTCTGTCCCACGAGCCGATCCTTATCAGCCAACCCTCACGGCAGCCACTAAGCTGCTCGTTACATAACCCGCTTGGAGACGGAAATGTTTTTGCGGGGATCGAGAGGAGGGGGGAGAAGGTTCTTCCTTCCTGTCCGCCATCTTTTGAAAAGGCCATTTAAATGGATTTTTAAACTAATTCTACGGACAAGTTCAATTAATATTTGCTAGTGTAGGTTTGGTTATTGTGGTTCTGTGGTGTGTGAGTGTGCGTGTCTGTGTCTGTGTGGATTATGTTTATATTACATTGCGGGGGACCAAATATCCCACACAATGAGATAAAAACCTGTTATTTTGACGTTGTGGGGATCATTTTTCAGGTTCCCACAAAGATCTGTGAATGCAATCAAAAAGTAAAAATGAAAAAAGTCTTGAATTTTGGTTACTTCTGGTTAAGGCTAGGGCTGGGTAGGGATTAGCATTTCCCCATAGAAATTAATATACTAATAGAGTCCCCGCAAAGATATAATTACAAACCTGTGTGTGTGTGTGTGTGTGTGTGTGCCTCTTTGTGATGCTGTGTGTGCGGGTGCACATGCTCAGTGAGGAATGTTCTACATTCCCAGCCGCTGTGGAGGACTGCCGGAGCGGACACTTGTGTAACGACACATTCCTGAGACTCCCAAGCTCTGATAAGAGGCAGCCATTCTACTGTGTCTTAGGTTCCCTAGTCATGTGACTCAGACTATGTGACTGAGACTTCTTTGAGATGCTCTGAGTCTCAGACTATGACTTTGAGGCTGAGACTAAAAGACTGAAATGCCATTAGACCAAATTCTTTTCATTCAGCGAATAGTTTAAAGTTAAGTGTCATTCTAGAATAATGTACCAGTGCTGTGTGTCTTTTCTGGAAGTGGAATGGAGGAGAGCATCACCTTCAGACTGGATCTGACAGTGTGAGAATGACATCCTGGGGCCGCTGATGGCATGCTGCTGGCATGTGCTGGTGTGTGCCAGTGTGTGCCCTGTTGTGCCAGTGGGTGCTGATGTGTGCCAGTGTAGTGTCGATGTGTGCCGGTGTGTGCTGATGTGTGCAGGTGTGTGCCGGTGTGTGCTGATGTGTGCCGGTGTGTCCCGGTGTGTGCTGATGTGTGCAGGTGTGTGCTGATGTGTACTGATGTGTGCAGGTGTGTCCCGGTGTGTGCTGATGTGTGCAGGTGTGTCCCGGTGTGTGCTGATGTGTGCAGGTGTGTCCCGGTGTGTGCAGGTGTGTGCAGGTGTGTCCCGGTGTGTCCCTGTGTGTGCTGATGTGTGCAGGTGTGTCCCGGTGTGTCCCTGTGTGTGCTGATGTGTGCAGGTGTGTGCCGGTGTGTCCCTGTGTGTGCTGATGTGTGCAGGTGTGTGCCGGTGTGTCCCGGTGTGTGCTGATGTGTGCAGGTGTGTGCTCGTGTGTGCCTGCATGAGTGTACGTCCATGTGGGGGATGTAACCTTCACTAAAATGGAGTGGCTAACGGGGTCACTGTGTCACTACAACCAATCTTGAAACCCCTAGTCTCTCCTCCTCCTCTGCTTCTTCTGCTTCTTCTTTGTCTTCTTCATCTCCCTCACTCTTTGGGTGCCTTTCCACTGCACCAAGTATGGTACTTTTGGTACTTTCGCTTTTCCATTAATTTCTGGTCGAGTACCATCACCAAATGGTCCAGTACCGAAAGTGCCAAACCAGCTGGGATACTTCTTTGGTACTTCGGTATTTTAAATAAATTTTTAAATACATAAGAATCTATAAAAGGAGTAATAATTAAAATAGCAAAGCTTGCTAAGTTTTTTCCTATGACTGAGTAACATAGAAACTTTAACCCCCTGTGGTATAATGTCCATACAAAATTGACAGTAAGAAAAAGCCTGATCTTAATCTATCTGACTAGCGATGTAAGAATTGGATCTGCACAACATGCGATGTTGGTATTAATATCGCACGTCATCCAGTGCTGTTATATACTATAGCCATTTTTCGAATTCAGTACAAAATGCCCTGCCTCAAATTGTGATGTCATTCGGTGCTGGTACCAGTAAAACCTGGTGAAAACCAACACCTTGAAGTACCGTACTTCGGGTACTTTCTCGATGTACCAAAAGTATGGTACCTGGTATGTTGGAAAAACACCCTTTGCCTCCCTTTTCATTCTCTCTCCCTTGGTATTGACCACGTTCAGTTCAGTCACATAGTCTATAATGGCTGCTTCCATCATCGGTTTCCATCAGGAATATGTCTCACTTTTAGACTTGTTGGTCAGAAAACTGATAGATGGGTCTTTTTTTCCTAGTCAGAATACTGATTTATTATGAAATAACACTTTTTGATGTCTCACTCAATTCTGTTAGAATATCTTTTGGCGTTATTGTTGTTTTTTCCAGCAAGGGTAATTGGGTCATGAGACTCACTTTAAAAGATCATACCTCTCGGGAGCCTGTAATTATGGGGTAGAGGTTATATGAACGGTTTTCAAGAAAGCTTTGGTATGTTAAGGATACACAGAGAATGGTGCAGTGGATGCAATCTGTATTGATTTATTTAGCTATTGTCAAATAACAGAAGTGATTCAATGAAAAATGTCCACATAATAACAATAACATTAATTCACTAATATCTCAGCAAAATATTGCATACAGACCGATCCAAAAGAAAGAAGATAAAAACAATTCCCCAAATTTGCATTACAGTTGAGTATGGAGCTCTGCATGGGTTCTTTAGCAGAACGTAGATGACCTGAAGAATGAGGAGACAGAGAGAGAGAGAGAGAGAGATCGAAGGGGATTTCCAAATGGCTGGAATCTCTCAGCTCCTGGAATGTTCTGGAACATCTGCTGCCGTGACAGCCGAGGTTGCGGTTGGGGGAAGGATGCATCCAAGGCTTCCAGAGCACTTTCCTCCTCTTACCACCCTGTGATTCGGTAGAGAACAAGCAGCCCACAGGAAAGTGTTGACTTTTCTCACAGGATGTGCCTCTGTACAACACAACCCTGGCTTTGACCACATTTCTGCCTCTTTCTGCTGTACAGCAGGCTAGCTGCTAGTGATTTTTGAAATGCTGCTGCTTTTATTGAAAGGCAAATCAGCCTTTCTGTTTCCCACTACACACCTGTCCAGTCACAATAGTGTCTGTGGGAATCTGTCGACATTTCAGCAGGTATGGTATGTGTCACCACACAAAAAGAAAAATATTTGTAGGCACTTTTTCAAGGTTAAGGTGCACAGTGGATCCTCACAGAGTAGTTAGTGTGCAGGAGAATGGGGCTATGGACACGTAGACCAAGTCATCAGCATTGAACAAACTGCTTCATGCTGTAGGCCAAATTGCCTTTGTACCATTAAAATAAAATCCAACGATTTAGAACTTCACTTACCAAACACTACAACATTTTGAAAAATGCCAAAAAAAGCTAATTTCTCAGGACTGCTTTCTTGCAAATCCTACTTCTAGTATCAATATAATTTTGTGTTTTAATAGAAAACCTCAATTGACTAACTGAAGAACATGAATTTATATTTCCAGAATTACAGAACTGCACTAGACAAAAAACACTAAAGAATAACTCACAAACACTTCTCAGTATTCAGGTTTG